CATATACACACACACACACACACACAAACGCAGGGACACGGGACACTCACACAAAGAAACAACAAAGAAAATTGCTTTAGTAAATCCAAAGGAAAATAAACACAGAATACAACTTGAGTACCAAAGCAAACAAACCCCCCACACACACACACACACACACACACATCAAATGGGAGCCGAAGGTGCGCCCAGGTGGGTCTAGGGTTGGGTTTTTGGATGGTGGCTCTGCTTATGGCACCCACCCCCCCCCGCTATGCCATGTGTCTTGGGTGGGCTCCACATTTGCAAAAGTCAAAAAGGGTTAAGGCAAAGCCGTGCGCCAAGCCGGAGCCCCAAGTGTTTATTATGTATGGGTGTGAATGAGCTGCTCCTCTGCTCTCCTCCACGGTCTCTTATGGGCGGAGAGTCTTCCTCTCATATTGCGCTGCCTTACTATATGTATGACACTTGAACATGCAAAGCTGCTTGCCAAGATGATTTATATTAGCCATGATTTCTAGCAATTTTTAGCACTCTACTCCCTTTCCTTTCCTTTCCGTTGCCGTTTGTCGTTCTCCGACGGTGTGGGAGGTGTTGATTGTTGTTGAAATTTCTGCCGCGCCAGATGACGAGAACAAAACACTGCGAGAGGAAGGTGGAAGGGAGCCGGAGCCGGAGCCAGAGTGCCAGAGTGCCACATGACATATTTCGGGCGATGATAATAAAAACTTATTTCGCTTGGGCGGAGTGATTACATGGCAGAGAAGATATTGTGTGCGCGAGTAAGCTCCATTAGAGGAGCGAACGAGTTGCGTGGAATGCAAATGTGCGGCAGGAGCACGCATAATAATGCCAACAAGGTCCTGCTTACCGGATACATTTGGTTTGCTTCACACCCAACAGTCTTCCAATCAGAAGCAATCCCAAAGCGGGAGAAGTCACACTCATAACCATGTGGCAAAGGCGACTCGGACGCTGAGTTGACCTGACTCAGGCCGTGCAAACAATGCGCGTGCGAATGGCAGTAAAAACAATTACAGGCCACAAAGCAAAGATGGTTGAGGGTTGAGTCCTGGCCGGCCCACGCTACGTATACGTAATGCGCTCCGTCAGGAGAGACACGAAAGGCAGCAGGCTGGTGGCTGGGGGCTGTGGTGCGGTTGATGGTCTCCGAATAGTCACTCACACACACACAAACAGAGAGAGAAACACTTGGGCTATCAAATTAAGTAATTGCATAATTGTTTCACTAGCAGTTTACTATGCCCCCGGGTGGCCGGTGGCTCCGAAAGAGCTCCACAACCACACGGGCAGCCAGAGCTAGCGAGAGAGAGAGAGAGGGAGCAAGAGAGAGCCATCACCGAGCACCACCCACTTGCCAGCCCTCCCTTTGACTTGGCTTTTTATGTGTGTGCCAAGTTTTCTTTTATTTGCCTTTTGGTCGATGGCTAATCCCCTCCTGCCTGCCGCTACGTGCCTGTCTTTGAATTTTTGTGGATCCCCGACTCCGACTCCGCCCCGTACACGGCCGCTCATAAATCAGCGTCAAATCGTCGAGGGCTTAGCCCGGAGCCTCGTGGCTTCTAATTGTTTTGTTATAGACACATATCCGTGAGGTTTGGTTCGGTGGCCAAGTCGAATGCCGAATGCAAAATGCAAATGCCGCTATGCCGCAATTGTTGTAAATCCCCGCCCGAGATGGAAGTACCTCAGCCACATGAATGCATGCCAGGAGTGGGGCACACGGACAGTTGCGCTTGGTGGCCAACGTTGCGGTTGGGCAACATTGTGGCATTGGGCAACTAAAACGGCCCTGACCCGCGCCCTCCGTGATAAGACCAACAGAGCGGTCAAATGCGGCGCTAATATTACCCGCAATCCGGGCGCTGGACTCAAATAGCTCGTGCCGCATGGGGAAGCCGTAGAATGTCTGCATTTGTGGCTCCAACTGGAAATTGAGCCTTTGAATGCGGCAGGTACATAGCTAAGTACTTACTACATATACATATGTAGATGTAGTAAAGTGAAAATATTTGATTTGAATCGAATGGCGAGAAGAACACTGACCCATCCTCCAAGATTTGGTGAATGGAGATAAATCCCCGAAAATTACGAGCTGTCCCATCATTCCCTTTATTCCCAGACCTAATCTCCACTATGCTCCTCCAATTTTCCCTCATATTTCTTACCACTCCAGTTCCCCTTTTTTTTTTACTGAAGTCTGTTTATTTATAACCCATCCATATCGCACTTCAGATTCGACTGTAAATCGAACATTTATCATTCCTAATTACTGGCACTAAGCTCTCTTGCCTGGAGTCGTTGGCCCAATGCACTGATTGATCAACTCCTCCTGTCTGTCCTCCTGTGGATGTGCCCTGGGTCTGGATTTATGCTAGATGGTAGTCGTGCAGCCGTTGCATCCAAGGCGAACGAGGGAAAAATCTCATTTGTTGCGCTTGGTTGCTAATTTTAATATTATTTTTGGAAATCTCATAAGTTGCTTCGCGTTTCCCCCTTTTTCTGGTTTTTGCCCGGCCCGTTCTTTGATGCCCCGAACTGTTGATGTCTTTATTGCAGTTCGTATGCGTTGCTGCTGTTGCTGCTGCTGCTGCTGCTCATTCAGCTTTGGCCGTCGATGTCTTCGGATCTCCATCTGCTCGCTGGCATCTTCACGCGGCTTTGGCTGTCTATAATTGGCTTGTCTGACTGCCCGAGCAGCTCCGCCCCTGGCTTCCTACACCACCTCTTCGTCGTGGAACGGGTGCGCGTGCGGGTGCGGGTGCGGGTGCTGGTTCGGACTTTTAATCAAGATCAAGCGTGATAAATTGAAGTCGCTATGGGAATTGAAAGGCGTTGAGTGTGGGCAGGGCATTTCTGGCATTGATTGAGAAACTGCAACTACTTGCATGCCCCATGTATAGCAGTGCTACTGCCTGCACGCTAAGTACTCCGCTCCTCATTCAAAAAATAAACAACAACTCGAATAGAATAAATTCGATAATGCTTGTTTTCTTACATTTGCGATTGATTGAAACTTCCGGAATAAAAAATGCAACAAACAATAGTTTGGAAATACCTTTGCCAAAGGTTCAGTTGAAGGCAGTTCTGCGGCTCTTTTATTTTATAGGTCATCCAAATATAGTGGCAACAACAGTCCCCATAACATAACTCTGCAGACAGTCCGGTATCCATGTTGCGTAGCTGTGGTAGTGCTTCACCCGCTGAGAGACACCGGGGCAGGTGGGACAGTCCGCCTGGATCAAAAACAGATCTCATCACCACTTGATAACGTCAACAGGCTTCTAGATTATGGAAACCATTTGGTGTACACTTTAAGCTGTTTTACATTCGATTAATGTCAGTGACGCCCGCCTGCCTTGAACCACTCCCCCGCATTACTCGATCCTGCAACACACAGAGGCCATAATAATGAGCTGCTGCAGCTATTGCCCCGTGGAATGCGGCGAGCAGACATCCATCCCGTAAACGAGAAATCGCGAAACAATAATGCTGCTGCAACATAAACAAATGCGAGTATAAATCGTGGCTGGCTGGAACACAAAGCAGCCGACAAGCCTTTGGCTGGCTTGGCACTTTGATTGTCAGTCATCGGTGCCTCCGGTGTGCATTCCGAAGCGTTTTCGCCCGGCCGTATGAGGCGGATTCTAAGAAATGTTTTGCGTTTTGCGAAATGTGCGTTGTGTTGTTTGCATATAAATTACGAGTGCGACGAGTATTTGAAGCGACACACGCATCGCATCGCATCGCCGGTGAGTCAATTCATAAGACCATTGTCTGTGGAGCCTCTCGACTGAGTCTCGACTGAGGGAGTATTTGCTGGCAATTGCTGTCGGCCTTCAGGTCGAATACACACTCACTCAAAGGCCCCTTTGACAGGGGCTAATAGCTGAGGTCAACAATTAAACTCATTCTGTCGGGCTCGCACAGGACGGAGGCTTTCCCCCACGTGCAGTCGTACTCGTAGTAGTTCTTCCTGCATTTCTGACTGACAACTGCAGCGCCGTCTATTTGCAGTGCATTAATTTTAGATCCGGGCCCCGACCCCTGGGCAGCGTTACTTGAGAGCCTCTCTGGCCTGGCAGCACAAAATCCAAACACAGGAAAAATCAATCGCCCTCACTGTCAATGTGCCCGCATTTTCCGGAGTTTCCCTCTCCCTATCTCGGTCTCTCTCTCCTCTTTGTTTTTGTCGTATTTCCATTTCATTTGATTTGATTTTATTTTATTTTATTTTGGTATGGGAGGGGGGAACACAACAACATTTCACCTTCCCCCTAGAGTGGGAGGGAGACGTAGGAGTCGGTGGCGCGCCAACTATGTAAATATTTGGCATGACCGCATGACAATATTTGTTCAGACTGCGATTCCCATTTTAGGGCCCCAGCATTTGGCATACACTGAGGAGTAATAACCGAAGAGACAAGTAGCTGTAGCTCTCTCCATTTCATTGTCCCTCGCAGAGTATCTGGAATGCTGGAGTAGGAATATTGCACCGCTCTCCCTTCCCTTCCCACAGCTCCACCCTGGCATTTGTTTATTGTTTTTGCGTAGTCGCTCGCCTGTTCAAATATGTATCTTCCTGCTGTCTGCTGTCTGCTGTCTCCCGTGTCCATGTCGCGCACTGCATTTCCGTTTGGAATGCATCATAAAAGTATTTCGAATTAACAGTAGTAAATCAGGAGGCCCCATTTCCAGCCCAACCCCCAGCTCGCGCAGCAAACATCCTAATAAGTAGAATGGGAGGCAGCGACAGAAATTGTTGGATAAACAAATATCGACATCGGCATGCGTGTGCCACCCAACCGCCGCTGCGGCTGGCACCGTCTGTGTTTGGCTCTCCGCTTAATATGGCATCTCATCCCGCGCCTACATGTATAGAACTTTTGGGACAGACAACCCCAACCGCGGCACGTTGTCCCTGCACTTGTTGGCGACACAAACCCAGCGGACAGGTGAAGCCATGCCTCCTCATGGAGGTCATATCAGCTCTAGACTGGTAATAAATTCATCATTATATTTGTGTGTCACCTTTCGTTACTATAAATAATTCCAAAATTACTTCGAAATGTACAAAAATCCGTCCACTGCTTTGATGCCCCCGTGCCCGTGCCACCTGCCGTCGGCGCATCACTGCGGCAAGGAGCTGCGGGAGCAGCGCGCCGACTTCTTCCAGCGGGACATCGATGACATTACGGACAGCGTGATGCAGGTGATGCGCATCTGCGGCCTCAAGGCCTGGGAGGTGAGGCGCACCAGGCCGGTGATCAGGCGCTCGTTCCAGCACTACGACGAGGTGCGCTACAGGATTGACCGGGTGCCACGCAAGCGATTCTGCAAGGAGACCTTCATCCATGGGCTGGCCCACGAGGCGCAGATGTCGCGCATGGACGCCCAAATCGCCTACTCCATCGTGAAGAGGGCGTTCAAGGCGTACTATCACGGCACCGCGACGGAGGGCAAGCGGCTCAAGTCCCTGATGGAGGGCATGACGCATCGCCAGGAGTGCCTCTGGCTGCACGCGGCCAAGCGCACCGCCGAGATCTACGCGTCCTACGCGGGCCTGATGCACTCCGAGCAGCTGCAGTACGCGGAGCGCTTCGAGTGCGTCTACAAGAGTCTGTACGATGTGCTCTCTGCCCGCGTGATCTGGGACGACGAGAACCACTGCCGCTGCGGCTGGACCTCCGCGATGCCGTCCCAGGCCACCACAATCACCACAATTACCACCGAGATCGAGGTGCTGTACCACAAGCAGAACATGGCGCCCAGCAGCGCCCCCTCCGGTACGGCCGTGGTCCCCAGTCAGCTGTCCGTACAAGTGACAGAGGTGCTCGTGGATATGCGTTCTGCGCCAGTGCTGGTGCCGGGCAGCGAGGTCAGCTCAAAGTCGTCCCGATACAACCACGGCCTGAAGAGGGTGAACCCGAAGAAGTCGTCGAGCAGGCCGCCCACTGTGGAGGGCTCCAAGGCGAGCGTGCGGAAGCGCAAGGAGCCGTGCAAGTGTCCGCCGCTGCAGTGCGACCGGGAGTTCGAGCGAGAGGCGCCAGAGATCACGGCCGAGTGCAGCCAGGGGCCGTACGTGTGCCGCTGGCTGCACTACGACGAGGCGGAGGAGCAGTTCAAGGAGCACCGCGTGCCCTTCCCGCCCATGGAGGTCATCTGTCCACCCTGCGCCAAGGACGACCTGCCCTGCGATCCCGAATGCACCTGCACCTGCGACATCTGCACCTGCGAGCCCGCCTACGATGAGGCGGCTGGGGAGGAGGAGCACCGCGGGGAGAAGCTCTCGGGCACCGGCATCGAGGACAACGACACCGACTTCTGCTGGTTGGCTCCGTTCCGCGACTGGCCACGGGTTGACGACGAGGTGGCGGTGGTGGTGGAGCCGGAGGAAGAGGCCAGCCAGACCCCCAACTCCGAGGAGGAGGAGGCCCTCTTCAAGTGCCGCTGCACCTGCGAGATCAAGCAGCGTGCCTTCCCCCATCTCTTTACCTACTTGGCTCCCTTTAAGCCGATCAAGCCCGCTGATGTGGAGGTGCCTGCCGTCCAGGCTCCTGAGAAGGCCGTGGAGGAAGACAGCACCGAGGACCTGTTGGCGAAGCCTCCGCCCTGCGGTGTCTCCCTGGCCACCTACCGCTGCTGGCTGCAGCCCCCACCCACCACGCCCAGCGAGTCGCAGTCCCTGGCAGATGAAGAGCCACACATCGCAGTGCTGGCCCAAGCAGCAAAGCCCAAGACAGCTGGCATCACCATGGATGTCACCGTCAAGGGGCAGCACCACCAACAAGCAAGGCAAGTGGCCAAGGCACCAGCGCCCACAGCAAGGCCTCAGAAGTCTGCCACGAAAACGCCCGATATAAGGATCACAACCCCAGCTGCAGCAGCTCCCAAAGCACCGCCCAAGCCAGCTGCTGCGTCTGTTCCAGCACCAGCACAAGCTCCTGTCGCGGCTGCTCCAGCGGCCAAGCCAGCGCCAACTCAGGCTCCGGCTCCGGCTCAGGCAAACCAAGAGGAAAAGCTCACAAAGGAGGATATTTTGAACATCATTGGACTGTAATACGCTTCATTATTGGACCCGCACCCGGGAATGTTTTTGATTAAAAGAGCACCTCCTGCATAGGTATAGGATTGTGCTTCGCCCCAAAGCTGGCCATTCCTTTTTGTTTTCACTTTGATATTTCCCAAATGCATGTCAGACTTTGACTGGCAAATTTCTTGGAACTTTTCCCAATGCTTCCGCCCCACAGCTGGGCAGCTGGCCGCACTCCCCGCAGCACTCAACTAATGTCATAGGGAAATCCAAGTTGCGGTCCGCTGCGAGTTTTTCCAAACGCAATTTGCTCTCGAAACTACTCGCAGTAGTTTGCCAAAGTTATTTGATATTTTATTTCATATTTTTATTGTCAATGGTTTGCATTTGTCGCATATCTTTTTGTTCGCGAATAAGTGGGTGTGTGTGTGTGTGTGTGTTCGCTTGCCAAACGAACTGTCAATTGATTGTCAAATTATAAAGCGAAAATGGTCAGTGCGGGTGGGGGGATGGGGAGTCCCTGGGGTGGAGGGTCCTTTGAAAATGTAAACTGTTTGCTTTGTTGCCACTTTTGAAAATGTGTTGACAACAGCTGGCGAGGGGCAGGGCTCTCAGCGGCTCAAATATGTGAAATATTATACAACACGCACTGCCCACAAATTGAATCGGAGGAAGTGGCGTGGCGTGGCTGGCGTGGCATGGCGTGGAGAGGGAGAATCAATTCTACATTTCTGACACACGATATTCCCGCATTGTATGCCAAATAATGGGTCCAGCACCACGCCCATTCAATGGACAATACACTTGGTCGAGCAAATTACAAAATACGATATGTATTTGCATTGTCGATAGTTGTAATGCCGGATAGGACACATCTCGTTAAAACCAAATCACGTAGGAGCGAGCGTCCCACTCCTACCCGTACGGACGATATATGGGAACGACTTTTCTGGCTGCCGTCTGTCGTGCGATAATTGCAGACAAATTGTGAAAAGTATTGCCTGACATGGGCGGCTGCATGGGATTTGTTTGGCTTGACAAGGGGCGCACGAAAGTTTTGTGACAGACGCTTTTAAGCAGAAAATTGTTTGCTCATAACTTTTGACTTCACAGTGGGCGGGGGATTGGGCAGGGGGCAGGGGTAGTGGGACCCTGGATGCGCCGAAGCCTATCAAAGAATAACAATAAACGGGTTGCCAACGGCTCAAACATAAAGTTATAGGAAGGCATCGAGAGCACGGTCCCAGTTATGCATTAAAATGTCTGACGTCAAGAATTTTGCTCACACGAAAATAGTTTTGAGGCTTGTAACAGCGATGAATCCATCTAAGTCAGGGCAAATCAATCAAACAAAAGGCAGTAGAAAAAATACTACACATATATATGTATGTATCTTTATTTTTTCTTTTACTTTTGCTGATATAACTTTGAGAAACTTGCACTTTTCTGATTAAATACGCGCTGTACTCGATCTGAAGAGTTTATCGACTGCTGTGCTTTGCCCAGCCAAAGTTTTCTTTATTGCTGTACGTCTTTTGATCCTAAAGAGTTTTTCTTCCACTTAGAATGGAGGCACCCTTGCCTTGCCTGGGCTTTCATAAACTTTAAGTGAGTCTTCAATGCGAAGCAGGTCTGAACGAGTCATAAATTTCTAGTTTAGTTTGCGACCGAGCGCTCGGAACGGAAGGTCATTAAAAAATTCCTTGTCGTTGCCAAGAGTATCGAGCCGAGCTGTGACGATGGTCTGAGCCAGGTCTAGAGCCGGCTGGCCGGGTGTCGGGGTCTGGCGCGTCTTGTTACGACCACGGGATGATGCGCATTGCTCATTAACACGAAACTAATTAATTGCGCAATTCAGCTAAACTATCGTGTAACGAGAGGGGCCCATTACAAGCTCTTGATTGATCACCGACTGCTGGCTGCGGGATCTTCCTGGGCTGGAAACGGGAGGAGTCTTGTCTTGGCTGCTCTGCTGTGCTCTGCTCCGTCGGCCATTGCATTTTAAACGCTAATTTATTGTTGACTGCAACATGTTGCCGGTATGCAAAAATGTGGCCTGGCATATGCAATTAATTGTAACAAGGCCCGCTAGTCAGGCAGTCAACCTTTAACGAGGCTGAGGCTGAGGCCAAGACTGCCACTGGCAACGGCATTGCGGCACCATCTAGCTTGCACCTAGAAGCCTGCAGCTTACAATTTTGGATTGCCACTGCGACTACGACTGCGACTACGACTGCACTCCAACGCGTGTTAAGTTGCTGCAATTTACGTGTTAATTTGAAGTCGTGTCCCGCAAATGTTTTGGCTGCCCCCGAAACTGACTTCTGCTCAGCTTAGCTTTTCCTCCAGATCGGCGAAAGTTTCGGCCAATGTAAGAGCACGGGGCCAATAGACTCGTACAAAGGTGGGACCGTAATTCATGTGTTGCTGGTAATTGCCGGTAGGGGCAGCCGTTGGGGCAGCTGCAACAATGCCATTAGGCCATGCATAACGATTTGATTCCAGCGAAAGCAGCCACACTTAACGGAGAAAACCATCTTAGATCTAAGATTGATATTCCGTTTGAATCGGGCCATCAGTGCCCTGCAGTGGGAGCAAATAATTTAAAGTTCCAGTGGCGGGTGAGTGCATAGAGCTCTGCTCCATTTAATATGCAATTCCAAATGGAAGAGTTGGCTACAAATTTGATACATACTAAGCCTTTGATTGCCACTCCACTGCATATCCATCTGAAGTACCATGGAAAAAGCTTTGAGTCCTCTCTCATCAGAGTACCCGAACCGAAACTATGCACCCATCAATCAAACCAACTCGCTCTCCACTACGAGTATTTCCAAAATCAATAAATACTTACGCGTCAAGTTGTTCGTGGAAAACTTGTGCCATAGCCGGGGATTTATCCCCCGAAATATTTATATATATATATAAATTTTACTACTCGTATTTATCTGCAGTTATAGTGTAGATATATAAACTGCAACTTTACTGTATTTAGCTGGCCAGCAGATAAATACTGACAGCCAACTACTTTTTGGATACAAAAATGTTTGCCATAGTTTTGGGGGGGGAATGTTTTTAAAACTTTTGGGCAAAATCCGTTGCCTGAAAACCGAAACCGCAGAACGCAGAACGCACATTGAATTGTTGGCCCGTTCCCTTGCCCGTGGCTGCAGCCCGTCCCTAGCCCAGGCCCAGCCTCTTGCTCTGTCTTCATTCAACATAACTCGAAGCATGACATGCAGCTGGCTCAACAGAGCTGCAGCTTGTTTGCGGTTGCCAGTATCTATCGGATGCAGTTGCGAGTGCGAGGACAAGATACTCGGCACTCGCACTCGCAGTCGCTTTCGCAGTTGTGGCGGCGTTGTTGCTGGCTGCAGTTTTTCGGTGGAGAATAGTTGAGAGTTGAGCATGCTGGAAAATGTACTCGTACAGGAACCCCGAACCCCGAACGGCTGTTGCTGCGGCTGCACACACCACACAACACTCGCACACACACACAGTACACATGCTGCATGATGACAAATCATTGGGCTTTATGGCAGGCAACATATGTTGGCGTTCAAAATATTTAACCGCAGCAAAGCTTTTTGGAAAATCAGCAGCTACGCGTACGAGTAGAGCCTCTTGATTAATGGCAGCGTTCAATACGAATGCATGAAAGTTTTGAACTGCATGTAGCCATCAGATACGTAGTTTGTCAACGACGCTTTCCCCCGACATGATCATCAATTAACGAGCTATTAATAGAGGCCTTTTCCCTCCCACCTCCCACCTCTCACCATTCCGGGCAACACTTAGGGCCCAAGCACATGTGTTGGTGTCAACTTGATTGAGCAGAGCTCCCCAAAAACTGAACAGTGAAGTGTGGGAGACACCACAGTTGAGCATGTAGAACCATAAATACCCTAACTATAGCTATAGCTAGCCCCTCACCTTCCCCTCACATACGACTGAGACTGAGTATGTGCGTATTACTGTATGTTGCCCAATTTAATTGCTACCAAATTATGGAACCATTAAAAATTCAATTCGTGGCCCATTTCGATTCAAATTAATCAATCAAACCCTTGGCATGGCTTGACTTATTATCAAAAAATTCAGCCATGTACATACACATACTTGTACGAGGAGTATGCTCATGCTTTGGGTGTATCTCAACTCTTTGATTGAAGGTCGCACCAGCTAATTTACGGCCCGCAATTAGCAGTGGCCCACGAAATGTTTGGGAACATTTTACAGTTTTTCAAGCTGGCAGCATATTTAGTAATGTAATGGGACGGGCCCATAGATAATTTTCAATGGCAGGCCCAGCCATTTGCCGTCCATTTGCTGGGCTGTGACTGTGTCTGTGCCTGTGCCGTACATGGGATTGTGTAAGTGTGTGTGTGTGTGTGGCATGCATTAACCCTTTGATTCCGTTGCGTGCCAGTCACGAAACGGCCTTGTTCCAATGGCCAGGGGGCGGCTCTCTTATGGCCACATATCGGCCGAGGGGCATTAGAAGAGATCTTTCCGGGCAGTGGAGCGGCGACCAGCTACGGTTGCAGTCTGGTTAAGTGCGGTCATGACCCACACACACTCGAAAGATTCTTTCATAATTAACTGAGCCGAGGCACTCTCTTCTGTTTGCAAGCAGAGAACATATTTTGATGAATCTATGCATGGTGGTGCTGCCCGCCTTCTGACATTTACCACCATGATTCCGTATGCAGCTCATACCCCATCCAGCTCGCATCCAGCCACGCAACCCAACGAAGTTCGTAAAAACATTTTAAAGATGCAAAAACTTTTACATTTAACCGCATTTATGGGCCCGCTGCCAGCTGTCAGCTGCTCCTGCTTGGGTTTGGGTTGGGTATGGGATGGAAAAGGAAACCTTTCGAAGCTTTGCAAAAGATTTTCACCTTTTATATTAGATGCCAGACGAAAGTTTATTGTTTTGCTCAAGCTTCAATCCACGGAAAGGCACGGAAGGGGTCGCTGCCACGTTGCCGGGGCCATTTCCATTTGAAAGGATAAGGCAAGTGCCAGGCCAAAGGATTCTGCGTTACTGCCACACACGCAAAACGCACACACTCGTATGTAAAATTGATTTACCTCCTCCGCTCCTTCGGAGGTTTCTGTTTGCTT